GGACCTTATGAGTAATAATAATAAATATTTATATCATACTTTAAGGTTTGCAAATACACCTTACAAACATTATTTCATTTGACCTTCAATAATCCTGTGAGGTAGGTGCTCTCCCCATTTTTACAGATGAGGAAACTGAGGCAGAGATTAAGTGATTTGCCCAAGGTCAGACATCTAGCAAGTAAGTTTCTGAGGCTACATTTGAACTCAGGTCTCTTTGATTCCAGGTCCAGCACTTATCCAATACACAATCTACCTACCTTTCCAAGTCATTTTTCTAGCACGTATGGGAATTGTCTACAACACCTCTGAAAGGTAGTCATATAGGTTTTGATATGTCACTTATAGTAATGGGAAACTATTTTGTTGTTCATTGAAAAATGTAAACCCCATTTATAGGGAGAAGTGACTGGGAAGAATTGGGGGGAGGACACCCATCTGCTGGATAAGATGGTTTTACCCAGCTTTACCCAAGTTCTGAAGGATCTGCCCTAGGCCTTGAACTAGAAGAAAATGGTAGGAAGAAAGAGGTTGTAAGGAAGCCACTATGGCACAAATGTTACACAGAAACTATCGCCGCTAACCAAGGTTATGTCAATACAACCATAACAATGACCAGGGGAAGATGGTGATGTTCCTAGCTTGAATTATAGACTGAATGGTACCTATGATCCAAGAAGAATGAGATGGTGACCCTTTCTTTCTCCCTCCCTTTCTTTAAGTGCAAAAGTCCTTACCCTGAGGTCTGTGAACTATGTATATATGTATGCATGCATGTATGTGTGTATAAATATACACACACATATATATAAACACATGCATATATACATATACATATACACATATATGTATGTGTGTATGTATATATAACTATATTTCAATATCAACCAACTAATAAACATGTGTTAAGCAGCTACAAAGGAAGATAAGCTTCCTTTGTAATTCTCTATATTGTATTTTATGCATTTAAAAACATTATTCCGTGTGAAGGAATCATAGGCATCAGCAGATTACCAAAGGGATCCACCACACAAAAGGCTTAAACCCCCTGTAGTAGGAAGAACCCAAGTATTCCTTTTGGGTAGTTATTCCTTTTATTTCTTCCTTCCATTATCCCTTCTAGGCTATGTGAATGGCAACCAGATTTGGGGAATGGTATTCCTTTCCTGAACATTTACTATAATTCTTAAGCCTTGGACCTATTATGAAACTTGATGATCATCAAAACCCAGACTTTTTGCTGAGTTTTTCAATGTATGTGAAAAAAAAAATTGAAGAGAGATATTTCACCTTTCAGTGATAAGACAATTTTTGTTCAGCAAAGCTGAGCAGGGGGGAAGAGGCAGATAGTCATAGAAGCAGGGGGAGGGTTGGTTTTATTTTCCTTAAGCCTTGTGAAAACATCCAAGTCCCGATTCTAACTCCAGAGGGATGACTGTGCATGTGTGGCTACCCCAGTAACAAAGTAGGGCAACTAGTGCCTGACCTTACTTGTGAGCTCCCCCTGGTGTTTAGATTGATTTTCCATGTTCACCATGAGAGTTGAATTCCTAGTAGGGCTGCCATGATTATAAAAGTGTAGGCCTTTTAAGTTTCAAGGAACTATTTTTGTGTACCACTGAAGCCTTGCAAATCCAAATTGATATCAGGATGCTCAATACATTGTGAGGACAAGTTTCATTCATGCATTTGACATTACTTCAACAAATTTCTTAAGTTTTATTAATTTTTTTTTCAATTAACAAGCATTTATATTCTCTCTACTTCCTCCACCCAAAGGAAAAGAAAAACTCTTGTAAAAAATATGAATAGTCAAGAAAGCAAACATATCATCCATGTCCAGAAATATGTATCTCATTCTGTGTATTTATTCTATGCACTTTTAGGCAGAAGATGGCTAGCATTTTTCATCATCACTGATTTTCCCCTAGGGTTGGCCATTGTTGATCAGAATTCCTAAGTCTTTGAAAGTTCAACAAGCATTTATTAAAAACCAATTATGTGCCAGCCACTATACTAGGTGCTTGGGATACAAAGACAAAACTACTAAACAGTTCTTCCCCTTAATGGTTACGAATTACAATCCTTTTTGAAGGTTTTTTTAGGAACCTAGAACGAGTAACCAGGACTATTATTGAATATATATTGGGTGGCTCCTGTGTAGAAAATATTATTCATATTGTATTAGAAATATTAATGTATTGGCATCAATGAATGAGGCCTCAACTTTGCTACTTGTTAGGTGTGTGAACTAGAATAAGTTTCTTGACCTCTCTGACCATTAGTTTCCTCATTTCTAAAAAGAGAGTTGTTGGTCTAGAATATCTCCAAAATCATGTGCTTTAGACATAAGTGGGACTAAGGTCCAGTCTTCACATTTTATAGCTTGGAAAACTGAGTCTCAAACAGATGAAGTGATTTGTTCAAAGTCGTATAAGTAATGAGGTTCAAACCCTGACTCCACTATAGTACTGTCAACCTGGAGGAAGAAAAAAAAAAAAAAGCTGAGAACAATTAGGCATCAGTCAATAAGGTAGGGCAATACATAGGATGTCTCATAGGCAACTCAAGCTCACCATGTCCAAAACAGAACTCATTATTTTTCTCTCTCCTCTTTGGAATTTCCCTATTATTATTATCAAGAGCACCATTATCCATTCAGTCATCTAGGCTTGCAACATTGGTGTCATCTTTGTCCCCTCTCTATGAGTAACTCATAGATTCACTCTAGAACACTCAAGAACATCTCATATATGGCCCCTTCTTTCTATACAGCCATCACCCTAGTTCAGGCACTCTTTACCTTTGCTTCTGTTGTAATTTTCTTCTAACTGGTCTCTCTACCTCAAGTCTCTCTGTACGCCAGTCCATCTCCCATTCAGCTACCAAAAGGATTTTCCTAAACCATATGTCTATGTCAACCCCATTCCTCTTCTCAGTAAACTCCAGTGATACCCTGGTACTTTCACGATTACATATAAAGTTCTTTGTTTTTCATTTAAAGGTCTTGGTACCCTGGTCCCTTCTTACTTTTCCAACCTTCTTATATTCTACTACTCTACAGGCTCTCTAAAAACCAGCCATACTAGCCTGAACTTGGAGTTCCTCACACCTGACACTCCTTATCTCATCTCCATGAGTCACACTGGCTGTCCTTCATGCCTAAAGTCCTCCTCCCTCCCAACCTCTGAAAGCCAATCTCTGACTTTCTTTAAGAACCCACTCAGGCACTACAACCTGCTGGAGGACTTTCCTGGTCCTCCCAACTGCTAGTGCTATCCTCATTAAGGTTACCTTGTTTCTATTCTGTATTAATCCTGTATGTTCTCATTTTTATATAGTCTCCTAGGGAGTCTCTCTCCCATTAGAATGTAACAGAGCAGGAACAGTTATGTTTCGTTTTGTTTAATTTGCTTTTTATTTGCATTTCTAAGCTTGATAGTGCAAGGGTAGAATTAAGAATTGATAGTGAGTTAGTAATGCTTTATATTTTATTTCCATCCCTGATATAAACACATAGCTCTAACCCTAAATTTAGATGTAGGAGAGGAGAGAGAATGAGCATTTATAAAGTGCCTGCTATGTGCCAGGGACTGTGGTAAGGGCCTCACAAATATTATCTCATTTGAAATGGACCTGAGTTCTGGTTAAAAGAGTGGATTTGGGTCTCACTCTCACTGGGACTCAGCCTCCTCATCTGTATGAGTGGACTGAATCACAGGACTTGTAAGTTTCCTTTTAGCTCTAGGTTTTATTTTGGTTTTTTTAAAACTATGAATTTTTAGTCCAATCTCTTGATTTTAGCTCTTTTATTCTATGACATGTGACTGGGTAAGTATGAAACAGTTTATTCTGAGAAAGACAAAACTTGAAACATCTTGACAATAGCATACAAAAGCAATATTGCAAATTGATATTCAAAAACTTGAGCAATGCACCCAGTAGAATAAAGTCACTTAAAAAAGGCTTTCTTAAGAAAATGAGTTTTGATTCAGATCTTACTGGACAAGATGAACATTGGTCAGAGTTCAAGGTCAGGAGATCATAGGTAAGAATCAGCCAGACAGAAATTAGTAAATTTTGTTGGAGGCAGGAAGAAGGAATTAATGAGTTGTCCAAGGGTATCAAACTAACTTGGCCATGGGAGGTTTCCATTGAATTCTGAGGGTTTAGTGCTAAGGGTAAATGGCATACTAATGACCCTAGAGAGTTAATTCAAACTATCTTATTCCCAGTACACTGGGATAATGCATATAAAGCATATTCTAAACTTTGAATTACTATGTAAATATCAGCTAATATTATTTGTGGTAGGATTGCTTTTAAAATATTAAAGGTTAATAGTGAAACGCAGCCTTGTACAATAGAGGGGAAAACCAACAGTGGACTTGAAGTCAGATGGGTTTTGAAATTCCAGTTACAACTACTTCCTCATTGCTTGACTTCTGGCAAGCCATGGGACCTCTCTAGACCCCATTTTCCTCATCTGTAAAATGGGGAGGAGAATCATATTTGTACTGTATTACCTCACCAGGCTAATGTGATAATCAAAGGGATGAATATATAGATATGTAAAGCTACTGGAGAGCTATCAGTCCAAGTAATTTCTTGTGCCTCTCTTTCTCCTTCTGCTGACCCAGCACAAATAGTTAACAACTAGATGATGCCTGGTAATTCAGCAAAGTGCGCCCAGGCGGGCATCATAGGCTTCCAACCTTTAAGAGATCTTATCAGATTCAGTGACTCTATGAAGAGTCCACTCTCATAATAATCCCTGAGGCATTTGGTAAATGAATAAACTATCAGATAACTTGGATCTTCTAGATTCTGATCAGTGCAGAAGAGACTGTGCTATACAGATCTTTTTGTTCCTGGGCCTCCCCTAGGAGGTTTCAAATGTAAATTGAAGAGTCCTTCCCAAGTTTACAGTAAATAGAAGAGAAACTTGTGGAATCCTCTTCCTCCAGGCAAAGACAAAGGCAACTGTAGCTTTTCAGCTGCTGTAGTTCCTCAAACAAGTTTTACTTTTGCACGCAGACCACTCTTAACTTCCTGTGTTCTGTGAGCTGGGGAGCTAGCACCATGACCGGCAGCAACATTTGTTGCAACTTTTTAAATATGTGGGAAAAAAATAAGATTTCGAGCATGTATTACATTAACCAAGATTCCAAATTATCTAATTTCTTTCAACAGGCAAGTAGCCCAACAACAGGAACAGCTCCCAGAAGCCAGTCACGGCTGTCCGTCTGCCCATCCACTCAGGACATCTGTAGGTATGTACTAAACAGGAGATCCTTCTCCACCCCCGCTTTTTTTAGAATTATTAGTCTGTGTTCTCACTGTGCATTCTGACACATGTATGCTCCTTGCTTCTGCCTAACATTAATCATCAACGGTTAACATTGACATAAGAAGAAGAAAAAATAACTGGTCATTTGTTTATTTCCTTTTCTTTCCAGTTGATCTTTGTTTACAAACTCTAAGTTCATGCTGCCATTTTCATCTTTCTTTCTCTCTCTCTTTTTCCCACTGCTCTTTTCCATTTCCCATTTCCCACCCTGTCCTTTGCCTGTTGCATTGTTTAGATCTTCCACCTTGCATGATTTGTCAGAAGATACGTTTGAGCATTCCACCCCTGTCATGGTGCTGACTCCTACTTGTAGGGAGTCTAGTAAGAAACAGTTGAAACAGAGGTTTAGGCGGAGGAAGAGAGAGGCTTCTGAAAGATATGAGCATGCAGAAAAGCAGAGAAAGGGGAAGAAAAGTAAGTTTCACCTCCCCATCTCAAGTTCTCGATGGAGTGAATTCCACAAAGAGATGTCTGATTCATCTTCTACAGATGAAAGTCAGTGGGTTCAGGCTCGGCAGAGGGCCCAAGAAAGAAGTAAGCTTTCCCGAAAAGGAAGAAGAAGTAATGACAGGACATGCAGAAACCTGGATGGGTCCCCAACTTCTAACACCATTGAGGTTGTCCATCTAGGGACCAGAGAGAAACAGGAGTGGACAGAATATGAGAGCTGCTCTTTAAACCACCGTAGGGGAAAGGCCAAGAGATACAAAGAATACAGCCTTTCATCAACTCTTACATCTCCTGAGGAAAAGAGTTTCACAAAAGACCTTGGTGGAAATGGAAGCCAAAACAACTTTGGAGACCCACAATCTTTGGCTTATCTCAGGCAAAATGAAGCTCCTAAAGAAATTTTTTCAGAGAGAAATCCAGGCACAGAGACAATGCCAGCAATTTCGTGCCTGGAAGAACCAGTGACTACAAAGACCTGTGTAACTAATACTGCTCAGGAGCTTCCTGCCCCATATGATGACAGGTGTGATGATGATTCAGAAGTGTGCAGGTCAGTTGCTAATTAGAGAGACCCCATGTCCCCTTAACATGTAGCTTCTTCTTAAGGGGTTTTGTGTGTGCCCCCCTCCACCACCATGCCGTTGGTGAATGACTGCTCAGACACTAATTAAGGGCTTAACAGGACCAGAAAAGGTGAGTGTGGGAGGCAGAAATCAAGATGTCAGTAGACTTGACACCCAGTCCCTTTAACGTTGACACAGAACAGAACTAGATGTCTGCTTCCTCCTCCACTTATTTGGAATTCTAAGTCATTTTGACAAAGAGCCTCATAAACCACTTCTGCTTAGGCAAATATTCTAGTTCAAGTAAGAAGGAATGTGAGGATCCCATGTTCTCTCAAGGACCAGCTAAAATTGGATAGTGCTTTTCACCTCAAACTCATCCATGTGAATTTGGCTGAACTCAGGAATGATGATTAAACCGGCCCCAATGCCACTAGGGACCATATTCGGGACCTAGAGGCTTGAGGTTCTGTTCTTCAAGGGCAGGCTTTTTGTTGTATTTTGTTTATAATGAGAAATGTCACTTCTGCAGTTAGGGCTAATTTGTTGTATAATTGTCAGGCTCAGCTGGGAGATGTCAGATGGAAAATATGGAGACATGGATCACAACAGGTTGTTGGGGCAGCTGGGAGAAATGGTCAAGGGAGCTTGCAATTGGGATGTCACTACAGCAACTTTATATATGCCTAGAAAAGTTAGGTATTGTGCTTTATACCAAGCCATATACATTTCTAAAATAATGCCATTGAACAAATTCATTTCAAAAAGGATTCCAGTACTATTGTACCTGTACCTATGGCTATATGAGTGAATTTAAGCATTAAGTGTTGTGGAGTCCATATAGAACACATAGAGTTGTTTGGATTTGAGTTGTCCCGGTTTGGGGGCCAGAAGAAAGATGGAGGACTTTATAAATCTGCAGTGTGTTGTACTTGGAAGGCACGTTAGCTGGAAGCCCAATAGATGTTCTCACCTCCATTAAGAGCAGAATGAAGAGAGAGAGAGAGAGAGAGAGAGAGAGAGAGAGAGAGAGAGAGAGAATCCTGGATTTAGAGTTGGAGGATCTTGGTCATAGTCAAAGAGGTGCCACTGAGCTAGCAAACTGGAAGTCTCTAGTCTAACACATTCCAGACACAGATGATTCCAGTTCTGCATAATTTGAGAAAAGGTACAAGGCAGAAGGATGGGGCATGGTTAGGAACTTAAAATTTTGTCAGAGAAAGATTTGACCCCCTCCCCCATCTCCTCCTCCCTCAAATAAAGGCTTTTTCAAACTCCAATAGTGGACCTCCATTGAGAATGTGACACATATGTGACATATACAAAGTCCCTTCCAGACTACCTGAGAATATCCATTTCCCTGGAAATTATCACTTTCAAGCTACCTATTTTCTTTCTCTGTGTGCTCATCTCACTCCTAGGTTCTGGTGAGTAAGAAAACCAGCAAGAGAATTCTTATACTTTTAGTTGGATGTCTATCTCCTTTATTCACTTAGACAAGGAGGTTTAATGGGGAAAAAGAGGAAGAGGATGTATATTCATGACATTTTAATATCTACTGTACTTAAGGAGTTATTATCTCTTAACTTCAAAGGATTGTTCAACACTGCTTCCAGTCTTATGATTTTTTTATAATAATAGCTAGCATTTATATATCTCATTAAAGTTTGCAAAGTATATTACAAATATTATTTGATCCTCACAACAAAGTGGTAGGTGTTATAATTATGCCCATTTTATAGATAATAAAACTGAGACAGACAAATTAAATGCAGAGTCACCCAGCTAGGAAGTACTTGAGACTGGATTCATTTAATTCAAATTTTCCCAGTCCCAGTGCTCTAACCAATGTGCCACCTAGAATTGAAATAGCCAAGTGGTGTGTATTATACGTATACTTCATCACTGCAATGGGTCCATGATTGCCTTCCATCAATGTAGATGCCATCAATCCATGCTATCTCATCTTATGTTATCCTTCCCCATTGCTTTCCATAAATCCTTAATAGAGAATCCAGGTGACATTGTGGAAGACATCCTCTTGTTCCTTTCGTGTTATATCAAAGCCTTAACTAGCTAACACTGTTCTTGAGGCAAATTCAGTTGAAAGAGGGGTTCCAGCATTCCCTAGCTGGATGCAGTTTTGGAGGGTAGGAAGAAAGCAGCAGTGCAGAGGATATCCCTATCCCGGAATGGTCAAGCTCCCATCTCAGGAAGATTGCAAGATGATATGTGAAGACCCTTGTCAGGAACCAATGTTAAATCACTCTTTGCCCCATGCCAACTCTGAGGTGTGTGCTATAATATACAAGCTGTCATTAAAGAAGAGACTCTTGCAATTGTGGAGTCACAGAAACAATTTTTCCTAATAGAGATTTTGTTCTGAGGGACATTTTTAAAAAAAGACTTTTACCTAGACTTTTGTTGACAAGAGATTCAATAATATGTAAGATCAATTAATGCATCAACAAGCATTTATTAAGCTCTTATTTATGTTTTAGGCACTATACTAAGTGCTGGAAAACAAAGAAAGGCAGGAATAGTACCTGCCCTCAAGGAGCTTTTATTTTAATGGAAAGGCCAACATGCAAATAAGTAGGTAATCAAAACTATAATCAGAGTACTTGGGAGGTAATCTCAATGAGAAAGATCACTTTATTTTCCAATAACAATTATCATTAACATTTATTGAGTGACTACTGTATGCAGGAGACTACCCCTAGGTTCTGGTAATACAAAGAGACCATAAAGGAATTTAGCCTGCCAAATGATGTTAGGTGGCATATGTTTACTATTGAATGAGAGGTTTAAAACATAAATATTACAGGGGTCAAGAGGAGGACTAGGTTTTGTTAGTCAGTCTTTTTCAGTTATGTCCAATTCTTCATGACCTCATTTGGGGTTTTCTTGGCAGCAATAACTAGAATGGTTTGCCATTTCCTTCTCCAGCTCATTTTACAGATGAGGAACTAAGGCAAACAGGATTAAGTGACTTGCCCAGGATCACACAGCCAGTAAGTGTCCGAGGCCAGATTTGAACTCAGGAAGATGAGTCTTTCTCACTCCAGGCCTGGCATTCTAATCACTGTGCCATCTAGCTGCTGAAGGACTGCTAAGGAAATTCTCACAGAGAAGGTGAAACATTTACTGAGAAAGTCAGGATTTATATAAATGAAGAGTATATAAATGGGCATGAACAAATTACTAAAGCTGATAAACCAGGAAACGTGAGAAACAAGTTTGACTGTCTGACCTAAAGAATTCTTGGAGAGAACAAGAGAGAAATAAAGTAGGTTGGAAGCAGATTGTCAAGGGCTGGAATGTGAGGCTAAGGACTTGGCACTTTGAAATTTGTACTTTATCCTGTAGACAGTAGTGAGCTTTTTGAAGATTTCTGAGCTGTAGGGTAATATTTGCCAAGTGTTATTACAGAAAGATTAATTTGGAAATATAATAAGTAGACTAGATTGGGAAAGGGGGAGGGCATGGCAATGAGGAAAAATTGGAGGTAGGGAGTCCATGAAAAGATAGTTAAATTTAGAGTCAGAGTGTCTAGGTTTGAATCTCCACTCTCCTACTTACTACCTGGGTAAGCTTGAGCAAATAATTTCTCTGAAACTCAGATTCTCCCTCTCAAAAGTGAGGAAGTTAGACAAGATGACCTCTAGGTCATTTCTCTTCCAAATTTATAATCCTATAATTCTTTGTCACAGTCAAGGTATAAGGTGAAAAGGACTCAAACTTGGGGTAGTAGCACTGGGAATGGTAAAGAAGGAATAGATAGATGTAGTAGTCATAAGGGAGGGAGATCTGACAGGACTCAAGGACAGACTGGATGGGACTGGCATTCTTTCAGGTCATAGGTCATGCTTTGCTCATCTTTGGGTTTCACTCAGGACCTGGCACACTG